GTAATGTTGTTTATAAATATTTTTTGCACACAAAAAAGTCAATTGGCCCAATTCAGTTACACTTTAATAATTAATGTGGCAAAAATATGGAATGGATATGGAAACAAAACACAGAAATAGTTTTACCTATTATTAGTAAAATGCAGTGGATGTGGTCTTTTCCTGCCAGGTGATTGAATTACTGGTGGAAAATAAACAATAATTAGGAGGTCAACAAATTTTATGGAAGAATATGTAAATTATTGTCATTGAACACTCCATAGAATACATCCACAAATTTTGAAACTAAGTGTTGTATCAGTGTTGCAAAATATTGCTGGGATTAATTGGTAGTCTGTATGTTAATGTTGAACCCTGGTATTTGAGATAAACACATTGACAAATATCTTGTACCTTTGTTCGCAGGCACAGCTTATTGCACAATCTATTGGGCAAGCATTTTCCATTGCTTATCTGAGAGTTTTTGAAAGAAAATGGAATAGATGATCCAAGTGTTGCTGAAATGGACTATAGTGAAGTACTGAATTCACAAGAGATTTATGGAGATGATCTTATGTTATTTTCTAAAAAAGAATGTGAAAAAGAGGTAAGATATGATGCATGGTGATTCTCAGATAAAGTAACCTTTCTGGTCAACGCCAATTAGGATTAATGCAAGGGTGTGCTTAGAAGAATGCATAGTACATATGCAATACATTTGAGATTGAGACACTAAGGGTGTCAATAAGGAAACCATTCATAAGTTTTCCAAATATTTTAGCTCATGGGGCTGTGGATCCACTGAGCTATACCGATGGATGTCTGGATGGATGTGGATAATGATTTTTCAAAAACTACTGAACTGTTTAACCACATTTTTAGCTTCGCTGTCGACTTTGATATCTTTAATTCTCTAATTTTGGTGAATATTTTTGTAATTTTTGGTAAAAAGTGATATTTTCGACATTTTGTTAAAAACCGCAAGTCCAATTGCTTTGATATTACATACATAGCTACTACATGTGGTTCTCTCTCAGATTTGTTTATTTTGTGATGGTATCTTCAATTCTCTAATTGTGATGAATATTTTTGTAGTTTTTGGTAAAAAGTGATATTTTCGACTTATTGTATAAAACCGCGAGTCCAATTGCTTTGATATTACATATATAGGTACTACATGTGGACCTCTCTCAGATTTATTCATTTCGTGATGATATCTTTAATTATCTAATTTAAGTGAATATTTTTGTAAGTTTTGGTAAAAAGTGATATTTTCGACTTCTCGTTGCTTGTTGTGTTGTGTAGCTGCCTTTATGGATGCAGATGGAAATTTGTTCATGAGAAGTCAATTTCCATAGCCATAGCAACAACCATACAAACTGTGATTTAAAACATTGTGGTAACAATAACCATGGCAAATCACTGATCTATCTCCGTATAGAACATTATCAACTTTGTTTTGAGGAAGACACTCTGCAAAGGCAGCAGAGCTATTTAATCCATGAGGTCACTTGTTTTTTAGTAAGGGGTAAATCCTTAAAAACACTGAAAGGTAGAAATATTGTGCAAATTAAAGCTGCTAGCAGCGTCACAGGGTCCGAGCTGTCAGACAAAATCGTATTTTTCTTGTAAGCATGTTATATGCAAAATATGAAGATGATTGGTTTGAGCATTCATGAGAAACAAATGCCCTAACTTTTGGTAAATTTTGCATAAAATCCAAGATGGCGGCCAAACCACGTGACTGATCTGAAATCTTTTTAAGCTTTCTGAAAGAGTTCAATTTAGAAATACCATGCTGCAATATAGAAGATAATCACATAATGTGGCATGAGGAAAAAACTACTTCCTGTTCAGAAGAAATCCGAAATGGTGGCCAAACCATGGACTAGGCATAATAAATTAAGGAAATTTAAATGTGCTTCATATATAGAAGCTAAATACTATATATGAGAGCATTTTACTTGGTGGTTCTGAAGAAGAAGATTTTCAAGTGTTTTAGAAAAAAGATGGCGGAAAAAGTCACGTGACCGCTAAAGTGTTTATTGCTGATATCTATTGCTCATGAGTTGTACTATATGCCATAAAAAAATT